ATCCTACCATGATTCCTTCTTTGCACCTCATTTGTAATTTATTTCTAATCTGTTTTGGCACGCCAACATAGGCTTTACAACCAAATATTTTAAAATAAACAACACTGGGTTTTCTATTTAGGAACATTTCATAAGGGGTTCAGTTGCTTTTATGACATACTCTGTTCCATGTATGTACGAAACAGCCAAGAGCTTCTGTCCACCATTCTTTTCCCATTTTACCATCATTAAGTCTGCGTCTAATGCCGTTCGGTTAAAACGTTCACACACACCGTTCTCTTCTGGGTGTACGCGTTTGTGCGTTCAACACTAATTCCATTTTCGGCTAAGTACCCTTCGAATTGCCTGTTACAGAATTCCCCACCGTTATCGGTGCGTGTATACTTATTAATTTTCTATTCGTCAGTCTTTCCATTTGCCTATGATAATTCTTAAAGTTGTAGAACGATTCATTTTTATTTTTCATACAATACACTGTTACTAATCTACTATAGTCATCCCAATAATAGCAAGGAAATATTTACTCCCACCCTTAGATGGAACTGGTAGTGGGCCACAAACGTCTAAATAAACCAACTGCAATGGTTTATCCGATCTCTTCGGAACAGTTTTAAAAGTTATTCTACTAGATTTAGCAATAATACACGGTTCACACCTCTCCATTGGTTTTTCAATTTCTGGTAACCCTTTCACGCTTTGATTCTTACTAGTTTTCTTAATATAATCAAAATTTACGTGGCTAAATCTCCGATGCCATAGCATCGCATCGTCTACTTTATTTAACTTTCCAATTTCTGTACCGTAACCAGCTTCCCTTTTATTTGTTGCATATCTAAATGGTTTTACGTGATAAAGTCCGTCATATCGTTTAGCGTAGCATAATCTATCCCAATTATTAAAGTATATCCACATCTTCCCTTTTGAAATCACAAAATGAGCACCTGCCTTTTCTAACCTTGCTCCTCATAGTAAATTTCTTCTTAGATTTGGATTATATAACACATCTAACTCAATCCAATTTATTCGATTGCCTACTTTTACTGCAAATTTGACGGTACCCTTTCCTAGTACTTTACTTTCACAATTTCCTACAGCTAAAGACATACGTATATCGTTTATTTCTTCAAAATTTGTCATTAAATTTGTATTACAGAAATGAGTTGTAGCTGCAGTATCTACGGCCTAATTAAATTTATCTGCGTTACTTCCTTTATCTGTAGTTGTTACATAATTTTCTACTAACATTAATTCTTTATCTTTAAACAGTCCATTTTTATCGTCTATTTTAAGCTTCTGATTTTTACTTACATTTTCTTTACATTGAGCGATTAAGTGCCCAAATTTATGACATCTGAAACAAGGTCCTATTCTCATATTCTTAGATTTAGTTTTATTTTCAACTTTATCTTTCCCTGCATTTGAACCAATAGTATTAAACACGCTTACCTTGCTGTCTTCTAAATCGGCATTTACCTGGCGAAGTCAGCTTTCTTCCCTTACCAGTTCTTCAGCAATTCTTTCCAGCGTAAAATCTTCGTCCTTCCACCTATAGATCAACTGTACAATGCCGGAGTATTCCTAGGGTAATCTCCTTATTGCCTGAAATCCTTTAAAAAGATCTGCCAAGTTGTGACCAGCTTCAGCCAACTTCTTTGCAGTCATTCTTATCCTCGCGATGAATAATCCTATTTCTTCATTTGGGTATATCTAATACTAAAAAATTCATCCAGTAACTGAATTATCCTTGCTCTTGTTTTGGGTTCGAATTGCTTCTGTAGAACTTCCCATGCTTCTTTACCACTTGAACATTCTTGTATCAGCGGCCTGAACTCAGTTTTAATTCCATAATATAATGTAGTGAAGGCTCTGTTCTCTCTCAGTGTGAATTCCTGCTTTTCACGCCTTGTTGCACTTTTATCTAATTCTTCTTCTTTGTCCTCTATGAAGCTCCAACAATTTCTATCCAGTAATAGCATTTTCATATCGACTTTCCATCGATCCCAGTTGTCATGGTTTAACAGCTCAAAACCTTCAGGTAGTAATGACATCTTCAATTAAGTGTGAGCACAACAACTTGAACAAACTTCTAAGACAGGTCAGCTTCTTTTCGTGGATAACGGCCCTCTTCACCTACATTCCTTCAATGCTGAGTTGAACTGGATGACTGATTAGCTGTTGGCGCTGGGCCCATAACACTGTTGGTAGTGGTGATGATAAAGGCAAAGCATATTTTGCTTCCCTTAAATAAAGCTAAGACTAATCTAAATAAAATTCATGCTTTATTCCGTAAATAAAATAAAATAAGCTAACACTGTAGCCTTTACATTTAAAATCATTGAGTGAAAGAAAACTAGCATAATGCTAACTCATAATACCAAGAGATCAAGACATTCGCCGATACCAGCGTACATATATAATACTCGGCCAACCCGCCAATCTTGACGACATCGGGCAATCAGCGGCAACCACGTGAGCTTACTGCCGATTGACCTCCGATCAAAATTTGCATGTGGAAAACTAAAGCCAACAATTATATGTTTACGCATGCGCAGAAAGTTTGTAGCTTTGAGGTCCGGATTATAGATCATTCCGGATTATGGACGTCTGGATTGAAGACTTTTGACTGTATAAACTTTTTGACACCATTAAGATTATCTTTTCATTTGTCTTGCAATCAGTTCTAATTCAGTTAAAATAAAAGAGTAAAATAAATTTTTTATTTTTAATGTATAATTTTTTTTTAAAGTGTACTTGCTCTAGACAGAATATAGCCTATTTTTAATTAATTGAAACTAAGATTTTTTTAATTGTTGTAAAATAATAATGAAAATAATATAAAATACATTTTTAAAAAAAACTTCTAAGGCTCAGGGTAATGCGGGTGCCCCTTGGCGATAATTGGTGATTATTGACGGTACATGGACACCGAGTTTGTGCAATTCTTTGACTTGTTATTTTGAATTTATATAGCGGTGATTTTGGGCACAAAAATAACAAGTCCAGGAATTGCACAAACTGGATATTCATGTACACATTGACCTATTTTCACTTTAAAAAAAAAAAATCCGAGAATTGCACAAACTAGGCATTGCGCATTTCCCTGACTTTGTCCATGTACACATCAATCTATATTCACTTTAAAAGTAAAAGGAGCAGCCAACAAAAAATATATAATCTCAGTATACTACATTTCAAATCAAACAATGAAATAACTTGAAAAAGGAGATTAATCTTAGCACTACACAAAGAAAATATCCACTTGTCTTATTTACAAATTTCTCTGTCTTCTGTCAAACAAAATTCCTTAACAGCATACAAAAACTTTCTAAAATTATCTGAACTAGAATCTGTATACTGGTGTCACCACATAAATTCACAAAAATAAAAGTAAAAAATATCCTCCGACGTTCGACCATATGCATTTTCTTCCTACAAACAGAATGCTTACAATGGCAACTAAGTAAACCTTCATTTACATACCAGTCAATTAATGCTTTTTTCCCTTTCATTCCAAATCGTACAGTAATTTCAAATTAATCTTGCAACATTCAGCCATTTTACCGTGTAAACCACAAAATAACAACGTTTTTGTTTGTTTGTGTGTTTGTTAGAGAGACTTAAAGATTCTAAAATTAAAAGTAAATTGGATTCAAAGCAAGGTTATTGCTGAACAATATTAATATTAGCAATCGTGTACAAGAGGTTTAACACAAAATCCAAACATATCAAAATTAAAATAAGAATTCATAGTAGTACAAACTCTAAAAATAAAAATGAAAATGCAAAAGGGAGAAAAATACATGATAAAAATACAAAAATAATAATTAAAATCCTTTTACTGATGCTCCAATTCAGAACTCATCAGGGGAAAATGAGTAAATAGTTTCAGTAAAAGTCATTTCAGTAAACTCCCATCTTTTAATTTTAGCCTCTTATTATATTTCTTTTTGTATTTATGTAGTGATTTAAACGACTCAGCAAGTTACTAATGCCAAAAAGGTGCCAGGATATTTTATTATTTTATGCTACTAATTAATAAAACTATGTGCAATTTATATTCTCTCTATTAATTATTGGATTAATTTACATGTAAAAATATGTATTAGGCTTCTTAATATCACTTAATTAGAGCTTTTATTTACCACTTTATTAGCTTTGTAGCGGCCACAGAGGTGTGGAAATTTATAGCTCATGGCTGTTCAGTGCTTTCAGCATTAAGCAGAGGGTTTTGCCCATAGCAACATCTATGGGTTGAATCAGAAGTGTCATGCAAAAGACCACATGACCTTGGGGACAGTGCATTTCATGGGAGTGAAGTACTCTTTGATGACAAATTCAAGTAAATCAACTCTTTCAAATTAGCAAGAATTGGCTGGCTCTGTAGCCTGCCATACACTCTTCGCAGCATCTGTATGCTAATGAGGAAGTATGATTTGCCACCGTGTTTTAAGCCCATGCGATGATGAGACTCATCATTACATTGGTGGGCTGTGTTCATCTGCACAGCTAGTTAGGCCTGTTGAACACTTGTGAAGTGAGGCAACATGGGCTGTGTGAGTGATGTAGTTTGTCAGTTTTTCCATAGGTTGGTGGGTGAAGGAGAATTGTGTTCCTCTGACATCTGAAAGGGTACCTCTGTGGCAGCCACAATGCTGTGGTTGATTTAATGCATGCAATTGTTCAACGGTTTTGTTTTTGTGGAGGCTTTGCCCGTGGTGACATCTATGAATTGAACCAGGCATACAATGCGAAAGACTGCATGTCCTTGAGGACAGAACTTGGGTCTGTTTCATGCGAGTGAAACACGTCACCAGGTTACAAAAGAGTTCTTCAGTGACAAATTCAAGTAATTCAAAGAGTTTTGCTACTATATATCAGAAAATAACTTCTTTTTACGTCTCACAGTTTTGTAACAGAGAGATGTAATGGATTATTCAAAATTTGCTTTAATTAAATATTTATCAGTTGAGACTTTTTTAATATATAGGTAACATATGCTGATGATTTTCTCTCTGTTTGTTTCAGAAAGTGTCTCTAAGGGAATTCCAGTTGAAAAATTACTGGATGGCATACGAGATTCTCAATCACCTAAGGATCATTTTCAACTGCATCTTCTAAAAAAGAAGGATTTCCGGAGTATCAATAATGCTTATAATTGTGAAGAATATAATAATGGATTAAGTGATGCTGAAAGTGTTGATCATTGGGTTCGTCTTTGTTGCCAGATGGAGAATTCACCCATTCTTGCCTATAGACAGGAGGATTTTGTAAATGAAGATGGAAGGCAGGATGAATTTTTGTTGATTATAATGACTGAATTCCAAAAACATATACTCCTTACTTCAAACAAAGAAGTAGTCTGTGTGGATTCTTTGTTTCGAAAAAAAGGTAGTCGTTTTTACCTCACTGTGCTTTTTATAATGGATGAGCATGATCTTGCTTTTCCAGTTGCATTTTGCATCAGCAGTAAAGTTGATAGATATGTAATAACTAAGTTCTTTGAGGCAATTAAGCAATCTACTGGACCTTTATCTGCAACTTACTTTATGTCTGATAGTTTATCATTGTACTACGATGCATGGAGAGAAATAATGAATGATGAAGCAAAGTGGCTGTGGAGTATGTGGTATGTGGATAGTAGAATCAGGGTACAAATGAGAATCTTTAAAGGTAATACTGCAAAAAGAGCTGATGTGTATAAAACTATGAGAACCCTTCTTGAATGTCAAAATGAAACAGTATTTTGTGTTATGTTTGAAAATTTTCTGGAAAATCTCTTGAATGATCCCCAAAGTAGAGAATTAGGTATTTTTATTAAACAGCATTATGGATGCAATCAAGAGATGTGGGCCTATTGCTATCGCAAAGATATAAATTTGAGTACAAATATTCATTTGGAAATCATGCATCGCACTTTCCGATATTGCTGCCGAGAAGGAAGAAAAAAGAGATTAGATAAATTTATATTTGTTTTGATGAAATTAGTTCGAGATAAAGTGCTGGATCGTCTTTCAAACTCAGTTGATGAAGAAAAACTCAATTTAGCTCATGAGAGTATAAATGCTTGTCACAGTTTAGGTTTGGAAATACCTGCTGATGAAATATCTGCCCTTTCAGAAAAAATATGGTTAATTCGATCAGACGAAGAGAATTTTTATGTAAGTCGGGAACTGATGACCTGCCCAGAACATTGTAATTTGAAATGTGAAGAATGTGATATTTGTGTACATATGTTCACTTGTAATTGCATTCATAACTTAATAAATGCCAATCTCTGCCCACATATTCATGCTGTTGTTTGGAACTTTTTGACGCCACATTTTACCCATTCTGTTTCAGACCAAGGTACCGTGGATGAATCTGTTGATGACAATGTGATAATAAATACAAAGGACAGTTCTGAACTTTTTTCAAGTGTCCTTAAGAAAACTCATGATTTATATAAAAATATTCAATCTAATAAATGCAATTTGAATAAAGAATCATTGAATGCTCTTCTTAAAAGACTAAATGAATGTATTGATGTATGTAATGGTAAAGTGCCTGATACCTCACGGCAGGCAGAAAAAATTGAAAGGTCAACTCCAAGTTCAACAGTTCTGTATGTGAAAAATAATGTATCACAACCTTTAATATTACCAAACCATTTTCCAAATGCTTTGCCACAGACTACGCCACTTTCTCAGTATGTAATTCTTCTTCCAAGTAGTAAATAATGTTGCCTGAGTTAAATTCTTACATGTATGCATTTTAATGCTATAATTTAGCATTGAAGTACTGTAAAATGTTTTCATTTATGCACTGTACAACATCAAATTGAAGAACCAGATATTTTGTATTGAATCCCCCCCCAATAAATGTATTATAATACGGTTATAAAGAAAATTCTATTTTTAAAAAAAGTTTGTATTATATATATGTAATGAATAAAATATTTTCATGAAGTACAAAATGTTTGTTGGATAATTTATTCAAAGTTTACAGATTTTTGTTTCTTATGATCTCTAAATATGTTAAAAGAGTATTCTGATCTCTTATACTTGTTAGTCAGATCTTAATCTTAACTGTTAACCAAAACTTCATTGTAAAAAATCACCATTCTAGTTATGCTAATTAAAATATGATAGAGAAATGAATGTGTGAGAAAGGACAAATTGCCAAAATTACATTGCAGCTTACTTTTACATTTGTTAAACTGTGTCATGCAGTTGGTGACATATTTTAACTAATATCTTTTTCTGACATTTATATTATGTCATTTTTGGTTTCAACTAAAACAGAATAAGGAATAGTTGTATATTCACAATAAAATCATTCAAAAACTCTTTGTATGTCTGGGGGGGGGGACATGGCCTGTGTTATTTTTCTTTTTATGAATAAGCTTTCAGCAATTTTTACAATTTTATTGCATGCATCAGTTTTGATGTCGGAATGAGATAATTTAGAATTGGCTCTTGTGATTAAGGGAATGCACCTTTATGTTATGATTCAGTTGAAACAAACTTTGGTTAGCAAAATTCCATAAATGTTAATTTCTAACACCGTAAGTTTAATCATTCATGACCAAAAGAAGTATGTGATCCAGCAAACCATGTTATGTTCAGATACCTTTTTCTTCCTGACATGAAGGAGCCTTCTCAGCATTTCCTCGTGAAATTCAAATATGACTTGAAAGTGAAAGGCTGCACAACTATTTTGGATTTGAGTCACATTTGAATTTCAAGAAGTGGATAGTCAAACATAATCTTTCTTTTATAAAGAACTTTTTTTTCCCTTGAAGAAATCTGAATTAAATTCTGCATCTCTCAGCCAATAGCAATTAAAAGGGTAAAAAAACTGATTAAATAGGAGGAAAATGGTTGTAGGAGTGATAGTTATAAAGAAAATTATCACAGGTAAAGAAGCCAAACCAAACCAGTAACCCCTGGCACCAAGGAAATGCACCAAAACAAAAAGAAACATGCCAGGTGATATGTATTGCTATAGTATTTTCCATTTCCAAAATAATTTCTTCATTCTAATGTATCATTAAAATTTACTTTATTCTTAATAAACATTGCCACTAATTCATTGCAGCTTGCAAAACATAAATGCATTTTGGTTTTATACGTATTTTGTCCTTTGTTTAAATTTTCTAATTTATTATGTATATACAATAAGCCAATATATGTGAATAACTTCTAAACTCTCCTACAACATCGTTTACAATTTCCTTACTTTTGACTCATAATATTTTAATACTGTAATATTTTCTGAAGTATTTCATTTAACTACAGTAACTAAGTAACTTCACGAGCTGAGCCCTTCTAAAATATTTAATGGCAATCTACTAACCCTGAACTTGATTCAAGCCCCCTTCATTTAGCATTCAAATGAATACAAGTAAGGTCAAAAAATTTTTTCTTAGGCTGCTTATTTTTATACATTTTTGTAATATTTTGGCATGTGTCACCAGAATATTGTATAAACTTGTGTTTAGTTCTTAAGTTGTATTTTACTGACTTTTTATTACATTTGAAGGTTTTTTCATTAGTTTATTTTTTCTTTTTGGAGTTTTTTCACATATAATATATTATTTTTGCCACTTTTGTTTACTTTTACCACTTTTGTTTCCAAAATTATTCTTTCATGTTTTTACATTATGTTGGTACCCAGAAATACAGAGATGGTTTCCTATATTTGTCAGAGGCATGTATATGTAAAGTTATTATGTTTTATAATTTTAATTGGGGTTTTTTAAATGGATCTGGTAAATTTTAGAGAATTAAACATATTTTTGGGGTACCAGATGCTTTATTAGGTGATGATCGCTTGCTGGTCACCTAATGATTTCAGACAGATATTATTAACGAAACAGCATCAAATTAACACCTTTTCCTTTTTAATGAGCTCTAATTTTAATCAGGTCTTTTTTCAAAATAATTTGATTATTTATGCATATTTTTTGTTCAAGTGTTTAGACTGATAATCTGTTTTATCAATATATTCACAGTATTGGAATTTTCTCATTTTTCTTGAAACTGGATGGTGTTGGGGGATTTCTTTTGTGTATTTGAAAATAATTTAATTAATATGAATTAGTTTAATTAAAATGGAATGTCTCTCTCAATATTGGATTGAATTTCATTCAGATGTACGAGACGAATGAAACAGGATCAGATGTCAATAATTGTTAATAATTTTATCAAGAAGGCCTCATTTCCCTTGAAAAATCAGTCTTTACCCATGGAATCAGTAATGATTAAATATGTTATTATTTTTAAATAGTTTTTCTACCACATTAAATGACACTAATTAATTTTTATAATTACATTTAAACTCTTTATTTTCCATGAGTTTGTTCTTTAGTAAGTTTTAAAATTACAATAGTTTATACTCTTCATTTTCCAAGGGAATAATTTATATTAATAATTTATTATGAATAATCTTAGCAGTGTTAGTACTAGATTTATGCTTTGAAGATCCATTTTAGCCTTTTTTACTTAATGTACTGGACTTGTACACTGTATACTGGTTTCCAAAAATTAAGGAAAAATCACAAAAATAGCGATAACTCGTTAAAAAATAAGCCAATCCGTATAAAATTTCAGTATGTTGTCAAATAAGAATTGCTGAGTAAAACTGCAGTATGCAAATTAGTGGCGCTGCAATCGAAATATATCATCTGCGAAAAGCTTTCGAATTGCTTGTTTCAGATAGCAATTTGTAACAATGAACTCTAGGCATCATTTACTCGAAGAACTGTGATGGAGAGCTATTGAAAGACTAGAGGAGGGACAAAGTCAGACAGAAGTGGGCAGATAGTTAAATATGAGTCCTTCTGTCCTTCATAGACTTTGGCAACTATTTCTAACCACAAATTTGGAATCCAGGAGGTTCAGCCAAGCACGGCCAAATGTTATGACGTGCTCTATTGACAGATATTTGATGTTATGAGCACGAAGAAATAAAACCTTATCTCAGGTCCTCTCTTAGTGCAGCTACTGAAAGGTTGGGGTCAACGACAAGCGTCTAGCCCCTCAGACGATAGTTTCCTCCTGGTTCCTCCCTGAACATCTGCGCAGATTACTGCGCATGTCGTCATTTTCCTGAAGGCGCCTCGTATTTACTATTATTTACTCTGCTCTTTGACTGCTGTGGTAGCGTGTGATCGCTGATGCAGTCTCTTTTTTATTTTGCTTCGATTATTATATCTTCTGCACAAAATCAAGAAAAACTGCCCATTTCAGGGCCAAGTACTTCTGTTTCCTCAGAAGGTATTTTTGATTCTAAATCGAATCAAAGTCAGGAAGGAGTAACCGTGTGCGATAATTCCAATTGTGGTATGTGTGATAATTATGATTGTGTTGTGAGTGATATGGTTCATTGTGCAAATGATTTTAGTATAGCTGAGAGTGATTTTGTTTGCCGTGATTGCTTAAAACTTTTAACTATAGATACAATTTGAAACGCCATGCATATAAATTTCATTACAATAATACTACATTAATCGAGTTTCTGAAAACTAAGTTCTAATAGTATGGTTGATTGTGCAAATAATTTTAGTGTGGCTGAGAGTAATTTTGTATGCTCTGATTGCTTAAAAACGTACCAAAATAAATGCAGTTCGAAACGCCATACCAAAACATTACACTCTAATAATACTACATTATTGATTCTTTAAAAAGTGATCGATCACCAAGCTACAAATGTGAGGACTGCCATCTGAAATTTAGTGACCTAAAAAATTGGAAATATCATCAAAATAAAATTCGTACTTCTAACAAATAATGTGTGTTCTGTATGTTATGCTAATTTTAAAAAGCGAGAAATAATATTTCATTTCAATAATGTTCATGATGTTGATTTGAATCATACTGAGCTAGAATTTAATTCATTTGATGATTTTTTGGCATGGAAGGCAGAAATTGAAAATAATACGAAGTCAAAATTTCTTATGGAGTAAGCATATTTAATATACATGGTGTAATGCCACTGTTCAGGAAATTTTATATCAGAAAGTAAAGGTTTGCGTCACTTAAAAATCCTTGATAGCAATAAAATAAATGCATATTGCCCAGCTGCATTAAAAGTAACAGAACGTGCAGATGGCAAATGTGTAGTGTCATATCAGAAAAATAGGGCCCACCAGCGGCCGAGCGGTAAAGTCGCTGAACACTGGTAGTTCGATCCGAGGTTTGAATCCTGTGAACGGACTGGCTGCATGGGCGTTTTCATGGTTTTCCCCATGTGTAATGTGTATACGAGCCAGTTTCCCTTAGAAAGTGCGGTAAAATCCTAGTGTACAGTGCAGTCTTGACGCGAATTGCGAAAATTATCGCCAACAAAAAAAATGATCCAAGGAACGTCTATATATATATATATACTATACACACATAGTATACATACTATATAAATAGTATATACTATGTTTAACTGTATATTTTCTTTGAATGATCCGTTAACTACTCATTGTATATGTCCCGTTTTTACTGCTCATCATAAAGTCACCAAAAGTAGCCAAATCCTGTGTGCACCGGATACTAGGATTAAACCGAAAGTGCTCCACGAAGGCATCCCTCCCCTTAGGCAGATAGTCCTCGAGGTTTTGCCATAATCTCACACACACACACATATCAGAAAATACATATTGGGCATCGGAATGATTTAGGTCACTTATTTTTAACAACAGATGAAATAAAAAATATTGCATCAAAGATAGCAGCCAAAAATTTCCCTGGATAATATTTTAGATGAAATTAGAAATTCTCTATGAGATGCTGGGCTTGAGAGGGTTCATTTACTTACAAAACAAGATTTACATAGCATCAAAAAATCTTTCAATTTGTCTTCTAATTCTGTTAAACATGAAAATGATTGGGTTTGTGTAGATACATGGGTACCTGAAATGCAAAATTCCGAACATCCATGCATTTCATTTTATAAAACCCAGGGATCAACATAGCATGAATT